CCGCGACAGTGCAGGACGGTAGCTTGACACGCTAACCACTCGGCTACACTGCCACGAGCTCCTTTTGGGTTACAAGGCAAATGTGAATTTTCAAGGAAGGCCAGGCCTTTTTGAAATATTATATGCTTTTTGTGTAATTGTCGATGAAGCAAACGTATGTTTTGCTATAACAATCGACTACTATACTTTATTTTTCGAATTAAATATTGTTTTTCGTGACTACCAGTAAATCAGTTATAAGATGTATTCACCCTGGATGAGAACAACTTTTGGGGAAGCAAAGCTATGTAAAAATTCAATGGAAACGTCAGCTCAACTCATATCATCTGTGGGAAAATTCTACTTCTACCAGTCCTTCATCACCTTAAACGAAATTGGGTGAATACATCTTATAGACATATTTTAATTTTATAATACGGCACCATGCACGAGTTTCGACAGCGATTGTTCCAACAACGAAGATGCAAACAATGAACGGTTCAGGAACATATGAGAATAAAAGTAAGATAACTAGTATAAGAGAGATCCTTTGAAGTATCCAGGTTACGAAAACAAGATGAAATCAACCCTATGCAGCAAAAACAGACTGAAAACATACGAAACGGCAAGCCACCTTGATCTTCTTATAAATAAATACGAGATAAATGGAGTAGCAAGAAAAACGGATGAACGGAGTGCCAGAGAAATTGGGTAGCAAGGGTGGTGGACATTGTGGCTCACTACTTACTTTTACCACCTAAATAAAAGTAATGCTTTTAGAAAACCAATTCAGAGACCAGAAGATACATCATGAGAAAGAACAACATATTGTATCTTCAGAACAAACTAGTAAAGACGGATTTGGATAAAAAGGTGGATAGGTGCAGTGTTATCCAGTAGAGACAACCAGACATGCAGACATAAAAGTATAAGCGAATATACACAAGCATGCAAACCTTACCTTCTTGTTGTGTTGGATCGATTAAATGCAGTAGCAGGAAGGAGGTATGGCGCAGAACGTTCGCGTTCATTGTTGACCTGTCGATTAAGAATAAAATGAAGTAAAAGAAAGAAAAACATATCCTAAAGAAGCGTGATTGAGAAGGCATAAAATATAAGATACCAAAGGTTAAAAGAGCAGACGATTGTAAAATAAAGAATTTATTAATTGGAATGCATCTTTTTAGAAGATAGCTAATCAAATAACGGAATTAGCTGAAATCCACTAGATTTAACTCAAAAAGGGACAGCAGACACATCCTCAAGCAGTGATATCAACTCATTAGTAATAAAACCAGGTATTATCAAAGAAAGATTTTACGAAAGAGCTCAGGAGAAATAACGAAGAATATCTCGAAAACCAAGCACAAATGATGACGGACCCCCCTTTTGCCGAAACTCATAAATTACAACTTCGCCGGAAATTATGCCTCAAAATAGAATGGGTCGCAGCCAGGGAGGATATTTTATTCAAACGGAAGAATAAGATATGCTAAAACAAATCAGCAACAGGAGTGCAGCAACTAGACGCAACAATACGAAATATATCGTCAGATCAAATAATCGGCAAAAACATAAAAATTTTTTTAAACGTCTTCAAACTTAGATATGAACTGTGAGTGTTGACTAATATACTGAGGAGCCCTTAATTTTGCTTACCTATATTTGAATTGCTTCTGCCTTTGAGAAGAAATTCTCTGAAATCATCTCAATTACAATTTAAATAGAGCATCGCACAAATTAGGATATTCAAGGAGTGTGTTTGCCGAACAAAACACGAGATGTAGTCAAAATAAAGAGAAGCCTTGAAATAATTTTTTTTGTTTTCAGGAAAGATTTTAAAGAAAATATACCCCAACAAAGAGCATTTGTCATGCCCTCTTCTCATCTCGGACACGCAAATGGATGCATTACCAGATGGTGCTGTTTGCTAGCCGACTAAGGTGCAGGTAAATCAACTTGGAATGCAGCCAGTCAACGATCAGTTGTTTGAAGAAAACAATTCAATAATAAGAAGATCCAGTACAAGGCACAGTAGATGTAGTCTTTTTGAAAATGTGGTTACATTACGAAAACTCGGCTTTTGCGTTACAATACAAGTCCATGAAAATCTGAACTCATGCAAACGTTTAGACTGTTTGCCTCCAATGTCCTTAATAGTGAGCACAGTTCAAATAAGCGCAAATTGGTTATTTGTAGAGGGATCAGCCCACCTGTGTTGAATATTGAGACAATTCAGGAATACCGGCTAGCTGGACGAGGATTGACATGAGACTGGCGAGAATAGCGTGGATCGCACAGCGATGTGTGAGTAGCAGTGGTGCCTCAGGAACACTAGCTTGCCTTTGAGTTGCCAGCACCAGGCGGAACAGCTCAACGAGCACCTGGATTGCAATAAAAATAAACAAGTGAAATTAATCAATGTGACTGACAAAAGCCGTGAAAAAAAACACGAATCAAAAAAATAATGTGCAATCGCCAGTAGATTTAATTCCTCCACAATTTAGGTGAATT